AGTAGTAGTAGTAGTAGTAGTAGTAGTAGTAGTAGTAGTAGTAGTAGTAGTACTTTCCTTCCTCTTGGTGTTGTTGCTGCCATGATTCTGCTCACTCCTTTTATAAGAAGGAGCAGGATAAACATGTGTTTTTGTCTTCTGTCATAATTTGGAAAATATTAGTATCTAACAAATTGTTGTGGTGTAGTAAAATTCTTAGTATTTTGTTTGTTAAAACTAGTAGTTGAAATACTAGCCATCACTGCACCACCATCCACACCTGTTCCTGTCTGCACAGCAACATCATTGTTGTTGTTGTTGTTGCTTTTGCTGTGTACTAGTAGTGCTAGTACAAGTAGTACTTATTAACAGAGAAAGTAATTAGTGTGAGACCGTGAGAGTGTATGCAGCAAACAGGAAGCACCTCTGTTGCAAATTGAAATTAACATCAAACGTCACAGGATATTTTCCAGGACACTTCTTGTTACTGGTACTAATGGTAGTAGGACAGAACCATCTTTCTTCTTTGAGTATACTCTCCACTGATTAAAGAAAACAATTTATAGGATTGGAGTATTTCTCTTGGAAATGTAGCTGGTGTCTACTAGTACTAGTAATCCAACACACAATGTTTCCACATGATACTGGTGTAATACTTTTTGGCACAGGTCAGCCTGTAGTACACATTATTTGCACACTAGAAGAAACAGCACTAGTATTATACTCCTGATGCTTCAAATAGCATTAGGAAGGAAAGAGAGGCCATCTTAATTTTTCTTTCTTTTCTTGCTCTTCAGTACAGCAATGCACAATATATTACTACTGGTGGTCCCCATAGCAATATCATAACATAGGACACAAACATCACCAGTGACCTTGCAATGAATATTAGAGGGCCAGGTTTATGGTAACCAATTCTCTACCTGTAATAGGGATATCATGATTACTTATTGTAGTGAAAAAGTATTAGTACATACATGTAGTGAAGCTCAATTTATGCCATCTGCATTTCATTCCCAGAAACACAGTAGAACCAAAATTTTAGGTCTAGACATCTGTTTTTTGGAAATGGTTACTAATTGTTGTTTTTGTTGTTCTAGTCATAGTACTATTAGCTCTGTTGTTTGGAGCTCTAATTACACTTTTCATTACTTCTTGTTTGTTCACCAGCTTTTTGCCTTGTTGATGGTGGTGGTGTGTGTCACATTTTTGCATCTGATCTTTCTGCTCTCAATTTTTTGTTATTTTTCATTCCTTCTTGTGGCTTGGGTCATTCCTGCTGCTTAGAGCATATTTGGGAGCAGCATATTATGTGGTAAAAGAGTCAGCTCTCAGCTCTAGTAGTAATTCTGTATTAGTACTAAACTCCTAGCAGAAGCATTGGCAGTGACAGTAAATGATGCTGATAGAGTCTTGGCCAGCATGAATCTGCTTCACTACTAGTACTAGTGGTACTAATCAGATTTACTGTTACTGGCACGGTTGGTTCTTGACTGATATTATTGCATCTTACCACTATGGTACTACTAGGAATAACTCAGGTCAACAGAATGAATACTTGTCCCTGAGGAAAATCAACCTGCTGCCCAGAATTTGGGTTGAGATCTGAGATTCTCACATAATGAAACCAGACAATCTGGGAACTATTTGCTGATGTGAATTCTAATAGATATGAGGATATGCATGACACATGGCAAATCATGATACTAACACTACTTGTAGGACCCCACATTTTATATTTAATTAACTCAGACCCTTCAGTTTTAAGAGTCTGATTTTTGGGAATTGTTACCCATGGAATTTTTCAAGAAGAACGAAGATGTTCTCCTCTGAAAAGGAAACTATCAAATAAAGAGGAGAAAAACCATTGACTCATCAAGATCCTCTCTTTTTGTCTAAAGTGTGCTCCTGACACTTGCAAAATACAAGATTGTCAATAACAATGTTTCAGAAAATCATTCTCTCCTGGTAGTTGGCCCTAATGGTGGAGAAGGAGACTTGAGGAAAGAAGGTACCTAGAAGGGGACAGATCAAGAATGTCAAGGATGTGGATCAGCAACAACATAGAAGGGTTTTGCCCCTGAAATATCTTGAAAAAATATCCAATTTTATGAGCTAGAAGAGGCACTACCAAGTTGGCCAGGAGTGAGAAGAATACTCCTCCTCCTTGCTCCAAGGGGTAATACCTCCTTTGTCCTCCAAGGTGTTTCTTGTTTGCTGATGGAGGCATAACCATTTAACATAAAGAATATTGGGGTGTCCTAGATTTAAGGTTAAAAACTGTTTCATTGTGGTTTGTACTAGTGGTCAAGATAAAGAATCAAGGGGGGGCACAAAAGTTCTGACATTTTTGCGTGTTTGTGTCTTGCCTTTTTTGGAGTAGACTTCAAAGACCAGCACATCTTGTGCAACACTCTCTGGTGATTGTTTGCTACTACTATGTCTATTTGTCAGTGAAGGGAAGAACTAGATGATTGGGTGGGTGTTGGGAAAAAGTTCAGAAGCAGCTGTTTGGATGCTTTTGTAGATTACTTCCTTATAAACTTGAAGTTACTAGTAATACTCCTACAGCAGAGAAGAATTGGTGAGCTTTGAAAGAGAAACTTCAGTGTCAGTAGGAAATAAATTGGCATGTGTTGTTGGACAAGTTTGGGCATATAGGGTCAACATGTATTGGACTTTCTTTGTCAATTTCTCTAGAATTGTTCCTCCTATACTATGTAGTACTATTCCATTCATCATGCAGTGATGATCAAGATCTTCTGAGGAGTTTCTGTGATGATGTCATGGAAAACAGCACCACCAGGGTCTTCAGACAGCTTCATCTACTTTTAGTACTAGTAGGCCTATTTCAACTAATTTTTGACCAGTAGTACACAGTCGATGAAGAAACAAGTGTCATTCATAAGTGCCTACTATTCACATACTCTGGTGCGGATCCAAAAGGCAGGAAGAACGGATATTTGATACAACCTATTGTTGTCTTGTATTAGTAGTGGTACTAGTATACAGGTACATAACTAGTAGATGATACTACTAGAAGTTTTGCTACAATTTGTGCTTAAGGAGACAAGGATCATTCTGCCACCAAGGCCTGCTGCTGCTGCTACATGCTCATCCCCAACAGGAGAGAAGACAATGAGTGTGTTGGTTCATAGTAGATAACATCCACCCATTACCTAGTGGGATGCCCCAGGTATCAACATCTATGCCACTATCTGAGCAATACAAGCACTTTTACTACTAGTCATGCAAATGTGTAACATTCATATTAATTTTCTACTGGTACTAGTACTAGTAGCCATCCATAAATGATGTTGTCAAAATTTTTGAGAGAAACAGCATAAACACCAGCCTCAAACAGATAACAGAGTTGTCTCTAATTGTCTTCATATGAGCTCTGCCATGGTAGCTTTCTCAATTCCCCTTTTTCTTCCTCTGACCAATCAAAAAGTGATAGCATTGTAACCCAATTAGAGAATAATGAGAAACAAAATCTAGAAGGATCAGTATTCAAATATTCAGTCAGGCCCCTCATTCAGATGTTTGTGTTGTAAACCATCACACTCTTCAAGATGGATTAGGAAGTACAATGAGAAGAAAATTCTCCCACTGAAAGGTGGTGGTGAGGGCACTGAACCAGGAAGACCAGCACTTGTGTCAATCAGAAATTGTCCAAGTCTGAACAATAGAGTACTGCAGAATCCTAGGAAAGTTGACACTCTACAGGATCTTTCAAATGACATTGAGAATATTTGTCAATGATAGATGCTGAAAGAAAAAGAGACTCTCAGAGTTCCAGTGGATAGTAGAATTGGCCTCCATCCTGGAAAGGAACATTTCCACTTGCTAGGCATACTATCCCTACTAGAATATCTATCTTGATAGTCCTCTCTGGTCATGCTGCACAAAAACTGGAGCTTAGGGGTTGTCATGAGAGTTAGCTTTCCAAAATGTTGTTCCAGAAAAGATGAAATGCAATGGAAGCTGCCTATTCAAAGATTCTAGTACTAGAGGGACTCTTATGAGCAGGCATATCCTCTGAACAGGAGGAGTTTGGTGAAAGAATTGCAAGAAGTTGTATCCAGACAGGAGCATTACCAAAGAGGTGGAAGGTATGAAAGGAATATTCCAGCAATATATTCATCAGAGAGTTGGTCGATAGGTATGGATAGGAACAAGGGAGATGGGATCAAACAGGAAAAACAGACATCTATGTTAGTATCTCTTTGAAGCATTATATGCTGCTGCTATTGCTCCTCCTAAAGAACCCTCAGACTATATCACTCAAAATCCAACAGGTGAATAGGAGTTGCTGAAATATTATGGATAGTAATTATGAGTAAACCATCATACCACAATTTCTAGTATGACAAGTAATAGTAATACATATTTTTATATCACTTCTTCACCACAATCATCCTTAATGTCAACTGTTGTGAGGTTCATGAGATCGAAATGACACGGACAATTAAGTACGGATAGTTCCTTTTCAAAATAAAGAATAATCATCGAATCGTCGTTGATAATTGGTCTAAAGTCCTTGTTAAGAAGAATTTTATGCTACGAATCGTTCTTCTTATATGATGACGTGGGTAGATAATCTTCATGGAATACGTTGACTTCCATGCGACCTCATGCAACAAGAATGATGTCATCTTATTCGCTTCTTCGCTTCAAAGGCCTTTATACTGACTATGAGGCCAGGAGGTGGTCGTAAAACCCGAGGAAATCTATGAACAACCCGAACGCGCATGGGGTCTGATTTGGTGCGAAAACACGTGTCATGTGACATCCGAAAGCATTCTATGGTTCCTCCCATCTCCATCAAATTGTTCGAACGAATTGATTCATTCGAGAACGCAATTTTGATTTATGCAAAAGAAGAACACACGTTCGATGTGAATCAGCACAGTTGATACTGTTACAAAACCAGCGCGAACGAACACGAAGATGCTTGGGCGTGTCCTCCCGTAAAATGCCTTGTTCAACTGCGTGTGACCCGATCAACACGTTTTCTCGCTCGGTCACATGAAAAGGTACGAATCGATGGACACTTACTGTAAGGTACGGTACAACACCGTAGAAAAGTTGCTGGAGCAATCGACAGCACGACAAAACAAAGAAATGCTGACCATAGCGGGAGCAACGTTGCCCCCCAGGTGACCTAGCGCTCGCTACACGCACGACTACTCTGCTGTACCCTCCATCTCGTACGATATCATAGCGATAATGTTCATTCTCGGGCGATTTAGAAAGCATTTTCGAGTTTTGGGATCTATTTTCTCTCCAACAACTCCATCTCACAAAACCAAATTCGCAGCAATCCAAAACGAATAGCAAAAGAAACCAAAAACAAACAAGATGAACTTCTCTCTCGCCGCCGCCACCCTTCTCGCTACTGCCTCCACCGCTTCTGCTTTCGGAACCAAGCAACTCGCACCCACCTTTGTCCCCGATGCCAACGCCTTCGCCTATGGACTCCCTGGTGCCATCGAACCCGTCGGAAACTTCGACCCCTTGGGTTTCGCCGAAGGAAAGGATTTCGAAACCATTAAGCAGTACCGTGAGGCCGAGCTTCAACACGGACGTGTTGCCATGCTCGGAGCCCTCGGTATGCTCATCACCGAGGAACCCATCGAGTTCCACCCTCTCTTTGAGGCCGACAACAAGGACATCGGGCCTGCCATCCGTCACCTCGACGAGGTCCGCGCTGTCTCGCCTGGATTCTTCGAGATTCTCGGAATCATCATTGGTGCCCTCGAATTGAACCGTGCCCTCACAGGATGGACCGCTCCCGGTGATGTTTTCGGATCCGGCCGTGTCTTCAAGGAAGATTACTTCACGGGTGACGTCGGTTTCGACCCTCTCGGACTCTCCCCAGAGGACCCCGACGAGTGGTACGCTCTCCACACCAAGGAATTGCAAAACGGACGTCTTGCCATGCTCGGATGGGCCGGTATGGTTGCCCAGGAACTCGTCAACGGAAAGGAAATCTTCGTCAACGCCGGACTCGCGGAGGACCGATTCGACCCTTCCAAGTTGCCTATCCAATTCTAAATAGGTCAGGCTTACAGAGAAGAAAGATCATACTATCAAAACGTCATCACAAACGTATTCATCGTGGAATTCATTTGAATGACGGCTATTGGAGCAATGAAAGCCTTGTACAAATCCAAGTCTCACACGCTGCCCAATGACGCCGTGATCCACAAACAAGTCTACCTCAAAGTCCACACCAGCAATCAACAGCGTAATCAGGAGAGGGAGACAATATCGAACGAATGCTTTAATCACAATAAACCTATAGATACACTATTCCACGAATTCAATACCGCAAGCGTCACATGTTTTCTTCTTTAAGTTTTTCCGTTGGGATTTCAGCTAGTACGTGTGTCAAGATAGCAAGTTTCCCTTCTTGGGAACACTGTTTGGTGACCAATTGTTCAACACAAGACAATATTGGGTGTGGCTCTCGCGCTCAAGATAATATTGGACTTGAATTAATAATTCATTATATAGGCATGCCTGCCGTTCAATTTGCTCTCCAACACTACTGCGGTATGCTTTGCTTCATTTTTTCTTTCGCTTCCGCTTCTTTTTCCCGCCTTTTTGGTCGGTGGTACCGCTGCCGTCCCCCGCTGCCGACTCCTCCCGGGAGAGCTGCTTCTTGGTCTTGCGCGTTGCCACTGCTTCGAGCGGATTTTCGGGCCACGGGTGCTTTGGGTACTTACCGCGCATCTCGGACCGGATCGAGGGATACACCTCCCTCCAGAAAAAGGGCAGATCGCCGGTTTCTGCAAGGGGCTTGCCGGCAGGGGACACCAGGGAAAGCGTCAGGGGCACCATTGCCTTCTGCGGGGGGCCGATCACTAGGGGGTCCCTGGCTCCGAAAAACTGCTGTAGTTTTGCGGTGGCCACGGGCCGGCAATTCGTGGTTCGAGCGCTGTTGCCGTCCTCACCACCACCACCACTAGCACTACCACTCGCAGGTTGCTCATCGCTGGTTCGAACGTACCGAACCGGGACCCTAGATCCATCCGGTGCATCTACAAACGTGGGATAGTAGTCGTCGAGGTATCTTTGTTGTTCCGGTGAAAGAGTCGAGCGCAAGATGTCTAGGGTGTTCAATTCTTTCAGCGACTTGACGGATCCCAGCCACGGCTCCACGAGATCCATCAGCACCCGGTGGCCATCGAGTTCATCCGAATCATCCGTGTTGCCCGAAGAACCTCCCGCGCCGTCGAGGGCTTCGAAACACGGGGGCCAATCGTCGGCCCCCGTGAGTTCCCTGTCCAGACGGATTCTCGAGACGAGTTCTTCCACCATCGATTGCTCCTTCGGGGCGAGAAAGACCAGCAGGGACCCAGCGATTCCACCCCTGTGTTCGGCCATGGCCCGCAGCAGGGCCTCAGCCACCTTGTCCGGGGACGGGCTCGGCAGGGGAGACGACGAGAGCTCGATGCGGCCCACGCTGCGGACCAGTTTCGCGCGGACCTGGTGCCCCTTGCTCGGAACCGTATAGAGCAGTTCCTCTTCGGTGGCAATGCCTTCCAACAGGTCCCGAGAAAGCGGCACGTACGACCGCATGCGCGAGATGCCGTCCGGACCCGTATTCGTCTCGACCGCCAGCACGTACGGTGGCGATTTTCGAAACCCCAGCCGGCACGATTTCCCCAGCTTCGGCAGGGAGGTTTTACACAAACGATGTCGGAAACACAGAAAGCGTGAGATCGTCGATGGATTGGAATGGACGAAACCGTGAAAAACACTCCAACGGTTAGGAAACCTCCGGGAACGAACGAACGAACGAATCCACAGGGAGAGAGAAAAAAGGAAAAAGCCATCGCATCGCAGTGCCACCGAATCGAGAACGCAACGCAACGCAACGTAACGTAACACAACACAACGCAACGCAACGTCACTCCACTCACCGCGAGCAAATAATTGGAGGATTCGTAGGCGGCGTCCCCCTTTCGCTCCCCGACTAGATCGACGAATCCCGGCAGCAGCGCCCTTCCGAGGCAGGACACGGCCCCGTCCAGGAAACCATCCTCGTTCTCCCTGAGCGCCTCGACGGCCTGTTCTCCCCTCCGGCCGGAGGTCTTCCCGGCAAACCGCTTTAGGGCCGGGAACCTCGATCGGACCAAGAACCGAACGCGGTGGGCGAGGTTCGGATCGTCGCCGTCCCTTGCCGACGGCGGCGACGACGATTCGTCGTCCAGGCAAAAGGCCGCGGCGATCGAAGCGGCCAGAACGGCCGTTTCGCCCGTGTTCCCCGCTGCGGCAATGGCGGTCGCGAGCCGCGGATGGCAGGGCATCTTCGAAATGGTCCGGCCCAGGTCCGTGAGCACAAACCGGCGATTGCTGCTGCTGCTGTTGTTGCTGCTGCTGTTCTTGCCATTGCGGCTTGTTGCTTCCTTGTGCTCGAGGGCCCCGATCTCCACCAGGAATCGCTCGGCCCGCTCCAGGGAGGCCTTGTCGGGCGGATCGACAAAGGGCATGTCTTCCAGTATCTCCGACACCGTCGAGGCCCCCCAGTCGGAAAGGAGCAGCAGGATCGGTGCCAGGTCGGTGCTGGAGATCTCGGGGGGGGACTGCTCTGCAAAGAGGGTGGCAAAGTCGTTTTCCGTGTAGAGCCTCAGGCAGCAGCCCTCTCCGACGCGGCCCGCCCGGCCGGCCCGCTGGACCGCGGACGCCCTGGACACCAGGGCCGATACCAGCCGGGACATGCCCGTGTCGGAATCGCAGCGGGGTTCCCGCCTCAGCCCGGAATCCACGACGCAGGTCACCCCTGGTATCGTCAGGGAGGCCTCGGCGACGGGGGTCGACACGATGACGCGCTGGCGGCGCCGAATGCCGGCCCCGCTGCTTTCGGGGGGATACAGGACCCTTTCCTGCTCGTCCCTGGGCATGGCGCCGTACAGGGCCAGGACGTCGGAAGAACCGGCGAACGAGGTCCTCGAGGAAAGCTCCCTGACGACCCCCTTGCACTCGGCCACCCCCGGCATGAACACCAGGACGTCCCCGCTCCCGGGGGCCTGCTGGAGTGCCGCGTGTTCCACCACGTCGGAGACGGTCCGGACCAGGAGTTTCCGGTCCCTCAGCAGCGCCCCGAGGGGCGGGATGCTTGTACGGCCCCTTCCACCGCCGGGCGAGAGCGACATGGCCTTTGCCACCTGGTTGGCCCACAGGAGCCGGATGGGGTATTGCCGCCCGTCGCTCTCCACGATCCCGCACGCGGAAGTGCCCCCGAGGGTGGCCACCAGCTTGGATCCCGTGCTCGGAACCCTTGCGCCGTCGCCGTCGCCATTGCAATCGCCATCGCCCGCTTCGTCCACGTTCCCCAGCAGCGTCGCCGACATGACCACGATCCCCAGATCGTCGGGCCGGACGGTCTGCTGGACCTCCCGCAGCAGCGCCAGGCAGGTATCGGAGCCGACCCCCCGCTCGTGGAACTCGTCCAGAACCACCACCGAGATCCCCTCCAGGAGCGGGTCCTTCCGGAGCATGCTCAGGAGGACCCCGTCCGTCACGACCCGGATCCTCGTGTGCTCCTTGCTGAAGACCGAATCGTCCCGGACCGAGTAGCCCACGGTCCCCCCCGGGCCGCCCTCCCCCAGGAGGGACGCCATGCGCTGCGCGGCCGATCGGACGGCCACGCGGCGGGGGGCGACCACCAGGATGCTTCCGGTCTCGCTGCCCCCGCGCAAAGCATCGAGGAGCAGCCGCAGGGGAACGATGGTGGTCTTTCCGGCTCCCGGTGCGGCCTGGAGCAGCAGGTTGGGTTTGGTGGAAAGACTTTCTCGCACCGAGTCCAGGACGCCAAAGACGGGCAGGGAGCTTTCGCTTCCGCTCCCGGCCTCGCTCTCGCCTTCCGCTCCGAGCACCCGGACCAGGCGTTCTTCCAGGTCGATCCCCGGGGTCGCCGATGGAATCGGGCCTGCGGACAGGGCGAGAGACGCCGGTGTTGGCATTCGCGTTCGCGTTCGCATTCGCGGCGGTCTCGTCCGGTGGTGCAGCAGCCCCGTGTCATCCACAAGACCAGAGACCGGTTCCGGCGGTGCAACGTTTGCTGCCAGGAACCATTTCGCTCCGACCAGACCACCGCAAAAGCCGTAGAACACGAGGCACCGGGGACGACGGGAACGGGAGCGAGCCATGGTGGTTGCTTTGGCCTTGCCCTTCCTGCCCGATGGAAAGTGGATTGCCCGTGCCGTTCCGTTCGTTCGTGCCTGCTTCGTTTGCGTATCCGTATGGATGCAAACAATGTTGTATTCAGTTTTCACCGACCGACACCCGAAGCTTGATGCGTACTTCTACTTCAGTAATTGATGCGTAACATAACATACCGTTCGTATTCGTACCTCCTCTGTACGAGTTCGTACGCACTCATATCATAGTTAGTCACGGACTCACTCGCTCTGGTCGTCTAACGAATCATCCCTCGTATTTTTTTCATGGAAGACGATCTCGTACTGCTACCGTACGAATGAGTACTGAGTACTTACGTACGTACGTTTAGAATGATGGTTTTGATTTTGATGCCCCCGACTGACTCGACTCATGAGATTGCACTCACCCCTGTTCCATGTAGTAGTAGTACCTTTGATACCATATTATAGTATGATCGGTAGTAATAAGTCCATAGTGGGTATGAACGTACCTGTCTGAGTATGAACGTACCTGTCTGGATATGAACATACCTGTCTGGGTATGAACGTACCTGTCTGGGTATGAACGTACCTGTNTACCTGTCTGGGTATGAACGTACCTGTCTGGGTATGAACGTACCTGTTTGGGTATGAACGTACCTGTCTAAGTATGAACGTACCTGTCTGGGTACGAACGTACCCGTATGGGTATGAACGTACCTGTCTAAGTATGAACGTACCTGTCTGGGTATGAACGTACCMGTCTGAGTATGAACGTACCTGTTTGGGTATGAATATACCTGTTTGGGTATGAACGTACCTGTCTGGGTATGAACATACGTCCATAGCTACTGAATTTGTGGGGGGGAGTAAGTACCGTACGTAGATAGGTCTCCTACTTCCACCTAGTCGGAGTTAGAATTAGAAGTAGAAATGTACTTGTAGATGCATAGAGGTACGAGCACCATACCGTACGACGTGCAGACAGCCATGACCTCCGGTCGATCGATCCGAGAACGATTGATTGATGTTGATTTTGAACAGTTGATCCTGCGTCTCGAAACAAATTTGTTTCGAAAAGAAAAATGTGTTGTATTTTACGAGTGGAACAGAAGCCTTTCCAAAGCGGTTTTTGGTTCTCATCTCTCTATCTGTCTCCTTACCACCGACGAGCACAAACCGTAGCCTTGCCGCACGGTGAATGGCCGACCCCACCGACCCAACGCAGGAACTTTTCCAACCCAGATCAGATCGGAGGAAGAAAGGCTTTTCGACACGGGTGCCGACAGTACGGTACGAAGCGATAGAGGCAGCAACAAAACGACCTCCGGCCACCAAGATGGAACCACGGACGAACGGCACTGCCTCGGGTGGCAGCACGGGGGGTACCCGCGAGGACACCAGTTTCGAACACGCGGGGCACGGCACCGAATCCGGGACGGCCGAGAACACCAGCGACGATCACGACGGCGTTTCCGTTTCCGTTGCCCTTGCCGTTGCTCCCTCTCCGGCGGCGGCATCGCTGCAGCGAACGCCCGCGCCGGACTCTTGCGCGGAGAAGTTCGAGGGGAACCTCCCCCTCCACTGGCTGCAGCCGCGGAAGGAAAGCGGCGGCGACGCCCTCCCCTCGTTTCGGGACCTGCGGCTCAAGACGCACCGGACTCTGTACGGGACCGAGCACGGGGGAGGCGGAGGGCTCCTCCTCCCCCCAAACCGGGACAAGTCCCCCAAGGGGTCCGTCGACGCCCCCATCCGGCACCTGGTGGACCTGATCAATTCGCACTCGCGGTTTTGCACCCTCAGCTCGTGTTCCGGCCGTCTCTCCCTGTTTGATCCGAGCGGGGAGTGCGGCAACAACAACAACAACCACAGCAACGACACACCCGCGGATTCCGGTGGCGACGCCCACCAGTTTACCGAGGCGAGCGGGAAGGGAAGGGGGAGATGGGTGCTCGTCAGCCACGATCCGATGGATCCGGAGGCACTCGCGCGGGCCTTGGCCCGGAGTGGGGGAAGGGACACCGAAGAGGGATCGACGGACGCAACCCCGCTCCGGCCCTGGACCTTTCGGTTCGAGCCGCTCTTGCTGCACGTGGCGGCGGCCTCGCTGGACGATGGTCGCGAGCTCCTGGCGATCGCCCTGAATCTCGGGTTCCGGGAATCGGGACTGGTGGTCACCGACAAGCGGGTGACGGTGGCGATTCGGTCGCACTCCCTCGCCACCGCGGTTCCGCTGGTGCCGAACTCGCATTCGCATTCGCATTCGGATTCGGATCTGCCTCATCCGCACGACGCGGGCCGGGGGTCGCTGTGCGCTCCCGCTTCCTTCCTGCGAGCGCTGGTGCACGATGCCAACCAGAGGCTGGAGGCCAACTGGAAGCAACTGGATCGGTTGTACCGTTCCATAGAATCCAACTTGTTCGAGGTTCGATCGTCGCCGCCACCGATTGCGATTCGGAGCATCCACCACGGGCAACCAGAACGGCCTTTCGTCGTTCCGCCGCTGAATCTTTGGAACGCATCGGTGATCGCCACGACCGCCAGCGAAAAGATCTCTGGGTCGGACACGATTACGCAACAAAAAATCTGGATCGCGGGTGGATACGGTTGCGGCCCTGCGACCTCCATCGACGCCAACAACGGCAAACCACACAGCACCGGCAACAACAGCACGACCGCGAGGCGATCCTCGAAAATATACGAACTGGAACGGGAATTCCCCGATGGATCGTGGCAAAACGATTGCTGGAAGGAATACGGTCGACCGCTGCTCGGGGAAACCAGCGAAACGACGGGAGACGGGAGCAATGCCGAGGGATTCCTCGAGGTCCATCGCGAGACGCACCGATCGAAGACACGGGCCGACGCGCAAGCGCTCCTTCGATTGGGGGTTCGCTGGCTCCCCGCGGCCCCCGATCTGCAGGGCATGGCCTCGTGCACGCTGGGAGAGTCGAACCTCTGCGTGGTGTGGGGAGGCCGGAGGGGCCCCACCAGGCCCGCCGGGGCCGATCTGTGCGTCTTTGACCCGGTGGGGGTCCGGTTCGGGTCCGTGGCGGACGTCCGTGGCGATCCCCCGGAGCCCCGGTGGGGACACCGTCTCGTGGCCCTCGGGAAAGGCGACCGGGCCGTCCTCCTGGGGGGATGCAACCACCAACACGGTGCCTTTGACGAAGTCTTTGTGCTGCACCTCGTTTCGGAAGGGGGGGACGGCGGGCCGGGTGGTTCTGCGCCCGGATACTTTTATTGGGAGCGGTCCCCGGTTCGCTTGCGAGCTCCAAGGTTTCACTTCGGAGCGGCCCTGGTGCAACGGGACACAGTGTTGGTGCTGGGCGGGCTCGAATCGACCAAGGACCTGTTGCGGCCCTTCGAAGACGAAAGCGGCTGCTCGCCATTGCCGAACGAGTGGGCCTGCCGGTATGGGGATTCCAAAACGAAGAGGAGCGGCACGGAGAACGACAGAAGGACAACCATCGCAACCGAGGCCGTGGGCGTCGCGGTCGATGCCCCAGAGCGCTTGTTGCAAGGTGGCGGTGGCGGTGGCGGTGGCGGCAGTTTTGGCTCCTTCTTTGGCATGGCTTGCTGCACACTGATCTCCAATAACCTTCTCTTGGTCACCGGGGGAATCCGGGCCGCCGATACAGAAGGGGCAATGCCCAGCATCCAGGCCTTTTGGATCTCGAGCGGGTGCGGATCCCCCGGAAAACACCGCCTCCGGATGAGGCGAATCGAGGTCTCCCTCGGCCCCGGCACCGCACAAGGGGAAGGGCCACGGCCGGCGGCACTCGATTTCGGGTCGATGGTCCACCACTGCTGCGTAGCGCTATCGAACAACGAGGTTCTCTTGGTGGGGGGCGGGGTCCCGTCCTTTGCCTTTGGCGAGTGCTATGCACGGTACGTCACAAATTGCGATCACCGATCTCCAACAGATGCACGCCAACAGTTCCCTCGCATTCTCACACAATCCTTTGGTTCCGTGTTCTACCGCAGGTCTCACCACCTATTGGTCGACACAGACAACGCCGATTCGGCAGGCTTGGGCTCCGGTGAAAGACCCGGAACCAGCGGACGGACCAAGTCGCCTCCAAAACAGGGGACCCCCACCAGCGTTGGTGGCTCGTCGCCAAACGAACACAGCGGTTCGAAGGCTTCCTCCTCCTTTGCCACCGAAGCCAAGCAGCGGACCGGCGTGGTGTACGTGCTCCCCAGGGACGCCAGGAAGGCGAAACACGTGCTGCAGCAGAGCGGGTGTCTGGACAGGCGCTTTCGAATGAGAAAGGTCGTCGAAGCCGTCGCGGGAACGGTGGAATCCACCGAGCCCCCGGGAACGAGCACCGGGGAAAGGGGTTCCGGGGAAGAGAACCAGCCCGCGACCACTCCTGCCGGTGGAACCAGCGTTGCATTTTCCATCGCCATCCCCGTCTCGGGTTCTCCCGCGGAAGCACTGGCCCTTCTCGACGGACTGGCCCTCCGCCACGGCGAGGAAGAACTGCCGTTTAGCACCTCTCAGTATGCCTCCAAACCCAAGCAGAGAAAAACCTGAGACCGCGAATCAAGACTCGACGGGTGTTACGTGATATTGAACGCACGATTGCGTCGGTTTTCGGTAAGTCTTCTGATACGGTAATTGCAAACGAGGCCGACGATACGAAGGACTATGGGATACGGGTACCGCCACGGCTGCTTGGAGATCTAAAAGAGCTATTGACTGCACCGAGGCAGCATAGTATTGAAACCATTCGGTAATAAATGAAAGCATTTTTAGTTTTTATAGTTTCGATGCGGCCACACCTCTTTCGGAACGAAGCGATGTGATCAGAAACCTGGATCGTTGACCAAACCGCGGATGGAACGAAAGCGTAACAATTGGTGCACAATCCCGGTTCGAAATCGATCCACAATCGAGTGAAACCTCTTTCTTGCCTCTGAGGTCGTGTCCTTTCGTTCAGCCAGCCAGCCAGCCAGCAAGCAATACAGCGCTTGTGCAGTGTACAATAGCTTGCTGTAATTTTCAAAATCCCGGAGCCATATGTATTTATTTTGATTTTTTTTTAGACGAGTGATGGACCCACCTGGCTCCCCATGGATCGTTTCCCTTCCCGTCCTACGACGCATGCCTTTTTCGCATCGTTTTTTTGGTTTTTTTTCTATTGTTTTTTTTTTTCGTTCTGAATCCATTGGATCCAAAGGTTCTCTTCTCTCGTTGTCTTTCTCCGAGCTCCATGCATTCGTGGACGGTTTGCGGAGTCATTCGTTTGTTGGTTTGTTTATTTGTTCGTTCACTCCTCCTATTTCTTTCGGCTTCCCTTGGCAATGGCAACGACCAGCAAGGCCACGGCCGCCGCTGCGGCCGCCATCCAGGGCGAGGAAAGAAGCGAGGGGAGAGTCGCTTCCTTTTCCTCTCGTGTGCTGCTGCTGCTGTCCTCAACGGCAGCGGCCGCCGCGGGTGTGTCGTCGGAAGCAGCGCCGCCGTGGGTCCCGCTCGTGTCCTGGAAGCCGTACTTCAGTCGTTTGTTCTCGGCATCGGCGGTGGACTGTTCCTTGCGTTTGTGCTTTGGGTTGGCATCGACGCTGAAGGCGCTGAGGAACCGGGAAAAAGGATTGGCCTCGACCCTTGGTTTCTGTTTCTCGCCGGTTCCGCTTGCGTTTGCCTCTGCCGTTCGCTGGCTGCGCTTTTCCTTGAGGAGACGCTCCCTATCGTTCTTTTGCCGGCTGGTGTGTCTCTCGCGCTGCTTGGTTTTGGGATCGTTTTTTTCGATGGATTCCTCCAGCAACTCGTTGGCGGCGTTGGCATTGTTGCCAATCGGGGAGGAAAGGGGAGCAGCGTTGTGGTTGCTGTGGTTGCTCTTCCCCGAGTGCACACTCACACTCGAGGCCCCCGTCCCGCTTTCTTGGGCGGCTTGGGGAGCCACCCTGGGAGGCGGGGTGGCTTTCACGATGCGGCGGGGCTGGGCCTGTGCCCGCGAGGAATCCGCCGCCCCGCCGCCCGTCTTGGTCCGGCCCTTGGACCGATTGGAGATGGGAGGCGATGTGAGATCGGCGGCAAAGATGGCACCCTCGGAGGAGGGAACGCCGGTCTTTGCCGTAGGCGGCTGCTCTTTGCCGCCGGTCTCGTCGGGTTTTTCCACGAGGATTCCCGAGTAGGACATTTCGTCTGTCTTCGTGTTGGACTCGAAGCTAGGAGAACCGGGAGGGGACACCTTTTGAAATTCGCCGCTGTCGATTCTGTCTCGAACGCCGTTGTCTTGTTCGGTGCTCTTGGCGGAAGATCCGGTGCCCATCTATGTTGTGTTATGATATGTTATGTTATCTTATGTTATGTTGGTTTGAGCGTTGCGTTGCGTTGCGCTGTGTTGCGTTGCGTTGGTCTATCGGGTGATGGATGGCGATTGGCAAATCCTTCGGTACGAGTACGAATACGAGAAGGACAGAGGGAAGACACAATCCGAGTGACCAGACAGAATGTACGAGTACGAGTATCGTGTTCGCTTCGTTTAATAAGAAGTACTGTAGTAAGCAGTAAGGGGACTGGGAGCTGGCTTGTTTGTTTGTATCTGTGTGTGTGTGTGGGACTGACTTTTCCCGCTCGTTCGGATGGTTGTCAGAGTTCCTCGCTCAAACGGCTAGTAAATTTTTTGTTCTCCGTCGATCGTCAATCGTCAATCGTACGGTATTGTATCGAACGATCCGTTGCTGACGGACGAGGGTCGAAAATCGTAAAAAAATTGTCTGGGATGAGAACGCTCTCGGGCTCCAAAAAATCTTTTTCAATCACGCCAACGAAAATTCGCCGTTATTTTATTCGACGATGGTGATGGATTTTGATTGATTGATCGATGAAGGTACGAGTACGACGAGTAGGTATTCATTTCGTGGTGTGAGTTCGCACGACGAAACAGTTGAAATTCTGTAGCTCGTTCTACCTACCGTACACCGTACCGTAGCCACACAAATCCTGGCCTGGAGTTTGCGAACACCACTCTACGCGCGCAAGCCGTACATCCTCTCTTTCGAATCCATTTCTCATGATACTGTACTTCTATTTCTCAATCTTACTGTACAATAGTACTTGTACGAATACCAAGACGTACGTACCGTACGGTATGGAAAAAAAAAGAGCGAGCGTACGTTTTTACCTTCGGCACGATCATACGTTCCTGAAATTCGTACTGTGTACCGTACCTTGTAACTTGTGGTCCCTGGCGTTGTTGGTTTATTCGTACGAGTCGATTACTCCTAGTCGATTTTGGGGTTTTGAAAGCTCGCGCGAGAACCGACCAATGGATTAGATTTCGATGGAAAAGTGTTTCGTTCCGTAGAATCGCGCGAACTGTTACTGTTGTGTAACAACATCCTGAACACATAAACGCAACCTGCCGGAACAGACGAGCAACAAACCGTCCTCAAAAACTGCCGCCTTCCCAACCGTTTCGTCCCTGACTCACGGGACACCACAGCAAAAACGACCATGACCCACCTATCACGATGGACGGCCCTCCGGAGGGTGGCTCTTCGGAACAAGAACAACCACCGGGGATCGCTGGCCCCGGCATCGTCGCTCGCAACGACGACGGCATCCCCTTTGCCTTCGATGCCAGCATCGGACGCAGCGGGTTCCGCATCGGCATCGTTGCTCCCGAATCACCGGTCCTTTTCTACCGGCCGGAACACGCACCCGTACCCATTCCTCAACAGCACGATGGCCGGAAACGCAACAACAAGTAGTGCTCGCCTGGGGGGATTTTGGTCCGGCGACAGAAACAGACACAGCAACAGCAACGCTTTCTCTCGCTACCGGGGAGGAAGCCTCTCCTGCTTTTCGACCACCACCGGGGACGAGAAAAGCGAGGCAATCAGCAGCGACAGCGGCCCGGAAGCCGGCGAAACCGCGGAGGCATCCCCGTCGCCGCCCCTGCTCAAGAACCAAAAGACCATGGAGTTTCAGGCGGAGACCAAACAGCTGCTGGACATCGTGACGCACTCCCTCTACACCGACAAGGAGGTCTTTCTCCGAGAGCTCGTTTCGAACGCCAGCGACGCCTGCGAGAAACTCCGGCACCTGCAGAGCGCCTCCGATTCGGCCTCGGACCTGACCTTTGTCGACAAGGAACGGCCCCTGGAGATCCACATCGAGCTGGACGAGGTCGAGTCCTCGCTGACGATCCGGGACACCGGGATCGGGATGACGCCGGCCGACATTGTCTCCAACCTGGGAACGATCGCCCGCTCGGGATCGAAGCAGTTCATGAACCAGCTCGAGCAGGCCCGGGCCGAATCCAGCGACGACAATGGGGCCCTCGACGCCGCCAAGGGGATCATCGGGAAATTCGGGGTCGGCTTCTACTCGGCCTTTATGGTGGCCGACTCCGTTGCCGTCACCTCCAAGCCGGCGACCGTCACCGACGGGGAGGACCACACCGTGTCGGTGTGGACCTCGGAGGGGATCGGGAGCTACGAGCTGGCGGAGATCGACGACTCCGACGAGGGCGGAAACACCCAGCGATTCGACCGGGGAACGACCGTCAAGCTCTTTCTGAAGGAGGACTACTGGGGCCTCCTGTCGGAGAGCAAGATCAAGGACGTCCTCAACAAGTACTCGAACTTTGTTCGGTTCCCCATCTACGTCAACGGCGACCGCGTCAACACGGTCGAGGCGGTCTGGGCCCGCGATCCCAGGGAGGTCGACGAGGAAACCTACTCGGAATTCTACAAGTACATTGCCAATGCCATCGACGAGCCCCTCGAGACCCTTCACTTCCGGGCCGACGCCCCGCTCGAGCTCCGGGCCCTCCTCTTTGTCCCTTCCTTCCACTCGGAGAAATACGGGATGGAGCGGATGGAACCGGGGGTGTCCCTCTATTCGAGGAAGGTCCTGATCGAGCACAAGTCGCCCGACATTCTCCCGGACTGGATGCGGTTCGTCAAGGGGGTCGTCGATTCCGAGGACCTGCCCCTCAGCATCTCCCGGGAGAAGCCACAGGACACGGCCCTGATCGGAAAGCTCAAAAAGGCGCTCACCCGGAGGTTCTTGTCGCAGCTCGAGAAAATGGCCAAGTGCGTTTCTTGTGTCGTGTCTTGTTGCTTTGAAATGTGCTGAACGAACGACAGGTAGTTCATTCCGTTTCGATAGCGTGCCATCTTACACTTTGCTTTGTTTGAAATACGCTTTCTCGATTGAATTCTCACCTCGATGCGTTTGTGCCTCGAAAACCTCGAACACGAACACACCAGGAAGCAGCCCGAGAAGTACGTCGATGAATTCTACCGCGAATACTCTCACTTTTTGAAGGAGGGGATCTGCCACGACTACGAATTCCAGCCCGTGCTTTCCAAGCTGCTTCGGTTCGAGACCAACAAGAACACCACCCGCGACCTGATCTCCCTGGATACGTACGTGGGCAACCTCCGGCCGGAGCAAGACAAAATCTATTATCTGACGGCGCCCTCCCGAGAAGCAGCCGCCATGAGTCCCTATCTGGAAGCCTTTGAAGCAGCAAACGTCGAGGTCATCTTTATATACTCGGCGATCGATGACTTTGTCATGGCCAACATCGGAAGCTACGAGGGACGGCAGCTGGTAAGCGTCGAAAAGAGCGACATCGACCTGAGCAAATTCGAAAAGAAAAAGGACAGCAACGACGACAAGGCCGATTCGGACGACGACAAGGACAAAACATCCGACGACGATAGCGATTCGGAGACGAAGCTTTCGGCCACCGAGGCCATCGACGTGTGCACGTGGATGAAGAAGACACTCGGCGACAAAAAGATCGTGTCGTGCCGGCCGTCCAGCCGGCTGGTCAATTCACCCGCCATCGTCACGGACAACGAATCGGGCATGATGCGCCGCATGATGCGCATGGTCGACAACTCGGACGGCCGCGACGGCATGCCACTCCCGGCGCAAAACGTCGAGATCAATCCCTCCCACCCGATCATGGTCGGCCTCCACCAGCTCAAGGAGACCGAGCCGGTCCTTGCCCGCGTCCTGGCCGAGCAGGTCTACGACAACTGCCTGGTAGCCGCCGGGCTGATGGACGACAGCCGAACGATGCTCCCCCGGCTGAACGATCTCCTGGTTTCCCTCGTGAAGGGAGCCAAGGATTCGAAAAAGTAGCAGGGAACGCGGTGCGCACCTTTGGATGCATCGACGAGTGCTGCTGCAAGAAAGTGCGCGGTCGCCATCTCTGATTCAAGAACTACGAAATGGTGGAGTGATTCGTGAAAATATATCGTTCGTGCACTTTTTAGACGCTGGGCCTACGGCCGCTATAACTAGTCTATATGTACCATTCTATCACGTTTATGAGAGTTGTTTGATTATTTGTACTGTACCCATAGACAGGCATCGATATTCGTCTTGAATGAAACGGTCCAACAATGAATCTTACCGAACAATCGCCAATTTTAGAAAAAGGACCCTTGTAGAGAGTGGACGACTCGTACACCGAAATCGACTGATGGCAATAGAACCGAGTTCCCGGAGGAACAGATCTAGACTACAGATTATAGTACAGGAATGCCATATCCATGTCCCGTTGCCTGAGTTTCGCATTCGAATTCATTCGAAAACTCTCGAGAGGCGATTGGCGTTCGAAGCCACTTCCTCCAGTTAAGGAATTAGTTTCACACCGAAGGTAGCGTTGTTTTCGCATTCAAAACGTAGTTCCAAAACAGCGAAAGTCCTCACTCTAGTCGAACACTAGAAAGCTAGATAGCATTGTCGTCACTTGGTCTCTAGTGGGTGTGATGCCGATAAACTACTTCAAGAAGTCTGACAGGAAATAGACACAAGAGCTTTTGTGGTTCTGATCTATGATTCTATGTTTAACGTTCTATATTATACTGCGAATTCCATACAGTTGAAATGGTTTTCGCGTATTCATTTGTGCCAAATGCAGGTTTCACTTCATTTGAGAGCCGAATGATGTACAAGTTTGGAGATGCACAAAGTAGTAGGCGCCGAATTTGATTGAGTTTGGATGGGTTCCTTCCATACTTCACGCCGAGGATTGCTCTCGCGAAGGCAACAAGCTATTGCTAGAATCTTCCATATGCGACGAAAGGGTGGCCATCGACCCTCCCATACTTGACGATGACTCGCTATAGCTGCTGCTGCTGCTTCTGTTTGATTCGGTTGATATCCTTTTCATCGACCCAATCAACAATTCGGTTGTGTCTGTTCGTTCCTCTCTCCGAGAGTCGTTCTTGAGCAATTCTGCCACCATGTGACTACTGGAGAGAGATCTGAGCATGGATGCCGATTTAGATCCCCTGCGCTGGAACCTACGCCGTGAATTCACCGGCTGCAGGGGCCCGTCGCTTCCTTTGAAACACGGCATTTGAAGCTCCCTGGAAAGAATGGTTCGAACCGGCGACGAGAGCTTGTAGGAGGTCGCTGGCCCGGACTTGGAAGAGCTCTTGGATGCTACAAACCGTTTCTTCCCCGGAGATTTTGTGGTGCTTCTGTACAGGTTTGATTCGCTTGTCATGTTGGAAAGATAGGACATGGAGCGCATGGTGGGTGGCAATATTGGAGAATGTCAACCCCGACTATCTGATGGTGGACACTGAAGGATGAAAAAGTACGAGTAGTGAACAGCGTGGACATCGAATAAGAATGTGAGAACGTTGTTTCTCAACAATGACCAAAAATTACCGGTGTTCCATTACCATAGACTTAAGTAGTTTAAATTGGGCTTACTTCTACAATTTTTGAAGTAGTTCTTTAAGAACATTATTTAGTGGATAGAGAACTAACTTAAGCTCATTGTAAAGGTTCGCAAACAACGAATAATACATCATGATATTTTCATGAAAACGTATTGGACCTCATGAAAGGGACTACGAACCTCAAGGAAGTCTTTATGGACAGTGTATCCTGTGCTCAAAATATGTCATTGTCCTAAAAACTATGTATTAGGATAGAAGTCCGTATGGTCCTCGAATGTTCGATGGCTTAAGGATCGCAAACACAATATCCTGATATTTTCTTTTTCAAAATTTCTTAAGGGATTGTTGGAATTCTGGTTCGCTCATTGATAAACATCACGGAACAATACCGAACCACGATTCGGACTGAGAGAGTGGGTTGGATAAGTACATCCAATGTCATCATTTTGATTGGATCATATTGTCGCAGTTGAGGTGTCAAATCGGTTGACTCCATTTTTAGGAACCTTTAAAATATAAACGCACTTAGGATTGAATCTCGTATTGATGAGTCCCGCTCATCGCGAACCTTAACGTACAGGTGGATTGAACAGTACGTACCCAAGTACTTCGAATTACGACTCGGCGACGACCGATCCTATGCCGTCGGACTTCGGATCATACCGGAACATACCGAGATTATTATTCTGTGAGTTGTCAAAACCTTAAGTGTAGCGTACTAGCAGTCTCAGTTCGTTGGTGATGAACAGTCAGCAAGGTCGTGCAGATCGCTCAACATTGCATGAGAGGTCCCGGGCTACTACATAGCCTGCAAAATGTACGTGTGCTCTTTAGTGTCGTATAACTACGTTTTTACAATAAAGAGTGAGGATGAGCCTATTGCTCATTCACTATCTACTCGTGAATTACGTGTTTCGTGTAGTACTGGCTCACAACTACATACGGTACTTTCTTCTCATTTCTTTCCCCGAGTTTCCAGCATGAGGAATGTACTGTACGGTACGTGTAGAGTTGAAAGATAGACACCGGCGGGAGTTTCTTCGAACTAGACATAAATAATACGTAGCACTACTTCCTCGTCTTTATTCTATCATTTGATATGATGCTAATGAGGGTTTTAAGTTTCTCTGTCTAATTCGATAATACAGAACGAAAGGGGTTACGTTTCAAAACACTCACTAGCTACTCGTGAATGCGGTATGGGGATTACCTCACAGACACAATTCCCTCCCTTGGGCGTACATATGATTCTAGTGTATAAAACATATCATAACATTATGAACATATTTGTCTCGCATGAAATCCCAAGTCGCCGATCGGTGATCATCTTCGAAGTTTACTCGTGGATAGGAGTACAAGTACGAGTAAAAGAAAAAATGTTTGAGCGCCGACCGTCACTACGTATCTGTCAACGCTGAACAACTTATGGGCACCTATCCATCGCGCTTCCATCTTTTACAATTCATGGTATGCAAAACAACAGGAAACCACGCTGTAATCTATTGCTACCATAAAAGCCAAATCATTGCCCAACACATCAATATCGTATCTTGAAAACAACAGCGATCACGAAGCACAACACCATGAAGAAACCCCCGACGCTGAACATTTCCTGGGCGCTCTCTGCTGCGCTTTGCTTCTGGTTCCTCTTCCTCCACGCACCGGTCTTCCTCTTCCGCAAGGATCACATCGAACCCCTCCTCTACGCGCACCTAGTGGGGGTGTACGCAGTCTACCTGGCCTGCGTCCACAATGCGATCATCACGCCTTCGCTGTTCGGCGGTGCGGCCAAGCCCTTTCACGTCTGGGGGGGCCGCATCGGCCTGGTGTTCGGCGTCGTTGGATTCGTTCTGGGATTCTACCTGACCTGGTTTGTCTATGATCCAATGGAGGACTCCACCTTTAGCATCGCCATCACGATCGGGGGATTGTCCCAGATGCAGGCCGAGTTCTGCGGCTACCGCTCGATCCAGCGGTACAAGGCCACCAAGCTCCTAATCGAGCAAGGCGGCTACGACAGCGGCGACGGTGGGACCAGGGAGAAATTGTTTGCCCTGGAGGACGAGCTGGACAGGCATCTGACCGACCACGTCAAGTGGATGCTGAATCTTTTCGTCATGGCGTGCGGCATCCCCGCAATAATACGGCTCGCGGAGATGATCGGCACTGCCTCTATCTTCCCGCTCATTGCAACGACGTATTGCCTCGGGCTCGGCATGGAGAGGCCGATCAGGGCTCGGATCCAACGAAAGCGTGCCATGGAGCGGGGCCTGGACTACGGCGAGGAAGCAGAACTGGCGGCAGCGAACAAATAATACCATCCGGTGCGGTGCCCGGTTTTGGGCACAAGCACAGCCGTGCCATCCATGCTTTGAAGGATGGCGCCACACTTGTTGTTATTTTTGGTTTGTGAATACAACTGTCGCCTAAAACACACGCATTGTAACTATCAAGAAGTCTGTGTTCCCCTCAACAATATACGGTTTTTGCTATTCTGTTCGAAGGTATTCGTTTCCCTGTCGCGCGAAGGACTCGTGGCACTGTGACACGATACTGCTACGCCACGACCAACTATTGTAGAAATAGCACCTTTGCTTTGAGCGAAGGAAAGCATGGCGTAAGAACTATAGTTTTTGTACCAACATATCATATTAAAAAAACAAACCCCGTTTCCTACCACATCCACAGGACGGTCGCGGACGCGACCGCGGCAAGGGCCGCGGCTTGCCCGGAGCCGAATCGGCCCCCGACGGCTCCGGACGAGGGAACGCCGGCGGGTGCGTCTACGGATTCCGTGGGAAGCGTCGCGTTGGTGATCGACCCGGCGGGTGCTCCCGACCGCGTCAGGTTGGCGGTGGGGGTGGTGATGGGGGTGTCCCTCGGAACCATCTTCATGTAGGGGCGCTTCGGGCTCGTGGTGTCGTAGCCCAGGAGGATCGTCTCGACGTAGCGCAGCACGTGGAGTCCGAACAGGTGAACGCTCGTGTTGGAGACGGACTGGAAGACGTTGCCGGATCGCATGAGTTCTGGCGTGATGGTCACCTCGATTTGCTCGTCCCCCCCGTCGAGGGTCAGGATCGAAAAGATCACCTTCGACGTGGTGTTCGAGGACCAGACGCTCTCGAAGACGTTGGACGGGAGGGAGATGTACGGCGAGCCCGTATCGAAGACGTACGGAATCATCTCGGTGGACATTGCCCTGCCGTTCAGCTCGATGTCGGTCACGTTGGTCTCGTAGAAGCCGTCGGACCCGCTCGACGCCAGCTTTTTTGGGCTGAGGTAGAGCGGCTCGGCGGTCGAGGGGATGCCGTTCGACGCGTCCTTTCCCAGCACGAGTTTCCCGGAGTCCTTTCCGAGGGTGCCGTCCCAGCTGATCGACATCAGGTCCTCGTTCGAGTGGCCAACCGTCTGAACAAAGCTGGCGGCGGCGATCGGCTCCGACTTTGGGCACACCGGGGTGTTTCCCGGATCCCAGGTCTTGTCCCTGATCGAATCGGTGTAGGTGTAGGTATTGGAGTTTCCGATCCCAAAAATCCCGCGGATGGGGGACAGCTCGAGGCCGACGGAGCCCTCCATCACCTCTCCGCAGGCATTGCCCACCTCCCCAAAGGCTTTCTCCATGACGGAATAGAACAGCCCGTTCACGAAATCGCCCCCGTCACCGATCGAAACGTTTCCGGCATAGGAATCCCCGTACCACCCGTGGGAGCGGGCCCCGTACATCATGCACTGGGAAATCGGTTTTCCACCGGCATTCGAGTCGGCGAACCGCCGCGGGTTGAGTACCTGGGTGGGGTCGGGATCTTCGCAGAACCCGATGGCACTCGAGCCCTTGCGTTTTCGTTTTCGGTCGTTGTTTGTTCGTTGATTCGTTAGTTTGGTTAGTTTGGTTAGTTGGGGTTAGGTTGCAAACGATGGTCCAGAGACGATAGCTCGTGAGTGCTCTTGAAACAATGGAGGGGGGCAAACACACAGGTTCTGTGGCAGCGGCATCGGTCGCTGGCCTCGTCTGTTGCAGGGAGCGGATGCCTCGTGCGTTTGCCACACTCATCCACTAAAACAAAACGTACCGAATCCATCAGGAGGAGTTCACCACCGATCAGTGTAAAGACCCGGAGGACGCACATTTTCATTTCTTCGTACGGGTAGCACCATTGTCCAAAGGAGAGATCGACGGTCTCCGACAGCACGACCCCTACCGACGACAACAAAAACAGCAAGACCGCTGTTGTTGTTGCGGAGGCCATCCGAGGAGAAGAAGAACTGCCGAGCTTTGGCATGGCGATGATTGGTGTGGATGACGAAGGATTGGAGTGAAGTGAAACAGAGCGTTCTTTTCGTGCGTTAGGGTTGGGCAACGACGGCGGTGGTGGTGTGGTTCCTGCTGTACCGGAGAAAGTTAACAACGCATCGCATCGTTTGTTCGATGCGGTACGTAACACATGCTACCATATTTACTGTACCAAGTACCCACCTGCGAGATTGGTGTCAAGCCGCAAGAAATTTCTCAAAAACTATTCTTCTTTTTCGTTTCGTGTTACATTTGCGCCGTTAAGCGTTATTTTCATTTACAACCGTTAACCGGAGGTTATGCATTAATTAGGATTCTCGTTTTGTTCAAGTTGTGAAGAGTGAATCTGGTCATAGATACTTCGGTACAACCTGCGGAATGTTGATTTGGTCTCCACCAGGTAGGTGCCATAACGTATGATACGTACGTACCGTACCGTACCATAAGGAGTGAGCTTAGTGCTGAGTCGCTACTCGCTATCTACTCGTGATTGAGGATTGTTAAATCCTCGGTCCACACGCGAAAACAAAAATCGCAGTCCGTTTTTATTTTTATTCGAAAGTTTGGAAAGAAACTAGTCGTACAGTAGTTTTGTTCAACGATGCACAGTTTCATGGGAAAAGCCGGTACTCGTACGGTACAGATCTGTGGAGGAGCTCGATGCCACCAGGGGCTGATGGATAGCTTTTGCTGTTCTGTACTGTGCTTGCTACCACGACGCTCCACCGCCGGCAGCACTCCCGCTGCCGGTCCCACCCGGGTAGGGTTCCTCCTTGTTCCCGTTCCCGCCGGTTCCGGGAGGGCGGACCGACCAGGTGGCCCCCCCGCCCCCGACCGATCCGGACGGGGACCCGGACCGCGTCGTTCGAACGGACGAGTCGTATTGGCCCGTGGTCCACCAGGTGGCCCCCCCGCCGAATCCCCCAGGGCGGTCCCTCCGCAAAGCGGCGGCGTCTCTCAGCCGCTGCCTCTGTTCCTCCCAGCGGAGCGGGGAAAGCGGCGGCGATCGGAACGGGCGTTTGATGTTCGCCCCTGCGGCGGCGGCGGATGGCGGGGACCCCTCGATGCGCTGTGCGCCGCAATCCCTTTCGCCGAACGTTACGAATGGCCGGTGCCTCCGGGCAACACCGGCGAGCCTAGCCCCCCGCTTGGCCCCCAGCAGGGCGCCGCCGAGGCCGGAGAGGAGGGGCAGGGGCAGTCCCATACCCATGCCCATGTCCAGGCCCCTTCCCGGCCCGTGCGCAAGGCCCCCGCGGCGTCTTGCGTGGCGAGGGTCTCCCGTTGGCAGGTGTCCGTGTCCGTGTCCGTGATCGTGCCCGTGGTGGCCTTCTCCGTGGCCGTGGCCGTAGCGGGGATCCCCGCCGCCGCCCCCGAACCCCCTTTGCCAGAAGGACAGGCCGGCATAGCCACCGGCGAGGGCCGCCAGGTACGCCACGGCGGTGCCGGTCCGCGACCGGTGTCTCCGGCCCGAGTGCGGTCCCGCGTGCGTTTCTGTTGCTGTTTCCGCGCCCGCCTCCCCCCACCGGTCCTTGACCTCGTCCAGCAGCCGCTCCAGGCCCGGGCCGTACCGGCCGGCCCGAAAGGCCTCGGTGACGCCCCTCCCGTAGAGCACCGAGTGGCACCAGTCGGCCCCAAAGACGTGGGCCAGGCTGTCGCCGACGACGATCTCGATCCGGTGGTCCTCAATGGCCACCAGGACGATCATCCCGCCGCTGTGGGTTTCGGTCTGGTCCGCCATCCCCCAGCCCTTGTGGAGGAGGTCGGCCGCCATCTCCCGGGGGGTGTACCCGTGCTCCACGCCCGAGGCGACGACGACCTCCAGGTCGAGGTCGGCGAGCGATCGGCGCTTCCGCGATGAGGGCCGGGGCCATTGCAACGAAAAGGGCAAGGGCCTCCCCCCCCGGATGCGCCTTTCGAGCCGCTTCTTGTCGCGGCGGCCCAGCACGCTGCCGGTCAGGTCGGTGGCGGTCCCCGGGGGATCGGGCCGGGGGGCGTCGTGCCGCAGGACCTTCCCGGGGTGGCCTCCCCTGCGATGCCGCTGTCCCTCCGCGGGAGCCACCCCCACCAGGGCCAGGACCACCGCAAAGAGGAGCCAGCGGAGGGGCCGGGGGACCGGCGAGGGGCTCCCACCAAGGCGGCTTGCGCTTGCCCCGCAAGGGAGGCTCCCCCCGTCCGCACGCCTTCGATCGGGGCGGGGCTTGCGGATTCCGCATCCGCGCATTCGTTCGGGAACGATCACACACATTCTTCCTTGCTTCGCGGCCCGGCTTGTTGGTTGGCTGATCGGTAGCTTGCTTGGGCGCTTGCCTGTCTGTTTCTCGGTGCGTCCTCCGGCGAAGGAAGGAATGTAGGAAGGAAGGAATCGATACGGCACCGCGGCGTATGCGATGTTTCGCAAGAATCGGAGAAACACGATACACAAAAACATACCGTACGATACAACACACTGTACGACGCGGTTCCGTACGTACGGTACATCAAGTATCGTATCGTGTCGTACGGGTTTCACGAACGATAGCATCGTTTTTGCTCGTGGTTTCGCCTCGACGCCGAAAAACGCAACGTGTAGAAAAAATGAATTCGAATGAGTCGCGGTCCCAAGAGTTGGGAGTGTCGGCCATTCGTTGTACGGTGTTTGTACTAGCCCTATCCATAAAAAGATCGCAACCCTCGTGTTGGCGCTGGCTTCCAATCGTGGACGCCGCGACAAAATGCATTTTTGCATCACCAACCCTACCGTACGTACGGTTCGAGTGTAATGTAGTCAGTAGTCATAAACCCCTATGGGTATGAACGTACCTGTCTGGGTATGAACGTACCTGTTAGGGTATGAATGTACCTGTCTGAGTATGAACGTACCGATCTGGGTATGAACGTACCTGTTTGGGTATGAACGTAACTGTTTGGATATGAACGTACCTGTCTGGGTATGAACGTACCGA